TACTGAATTTGCCTTTGCAAATGGTGTGTTTATGGGCTGTTACTACATTGGAACAGTTGATTAGTAGTAGGTAATTTATTTATTATTTTGTTAAGCATCTCAAAGGAGTTACAGTTAACACAATTCTTTTTGTTTCATTTTGTCTATATTTTAACTATAGTGTAAAAAAAGTGTTTTACTCAAAGTTGAGTAGTTTGAGCAATTGAATTGCATCTGAAACAAAACGCCTTACACTTACCTTTAACATAAGAAAAAATTAGGGTCTAGCCTATCTTCTTATATTTTGAGGGAGTTTGGTCTGGTCCATAACAGATTTGACTGTAAGAAAAGTCTGACTGTTAAGGTTACTCACTTTGTGATACTTTTTTTAAAAAAAATAATTTGAGTGATTTTTTTAAAAAAATAATTTGAGTGATAGGTTCACAGAGTCCTATTTCATGGTGTTTTATTTCCTTGTAAATTTATGTGTCCTGCCAAGAACTCTCCACACCACCAGCTCTTGCCTCTTACCCATCTCCCATTTTATTTGTTCCACCATTGGTAGCCATGCCTTCAGCTGCCTGGACGCTAAGCCCCGGAAATCCCTCTCTAAACCTCTTTGCCCTGATAGATTAATATTTATCCTTAAGCACAGTCTTTGTTCATCTGCCCTGATATCTCTCTATGTGGCTCAGTGCCTTGGGACATTTTGCACATTAAAGGCACCGTTTTAATGCAAGGTGTTACGTGTCCATATCAGTGACATGATAGATACTGCGACAGTGTTTGAAATGGTTCTGCTTGAAGTGTTAGAACCAGTTGGCACTGCTCCTGTAAATAACTTCTGAATAATACGCAGCTTGAGAGAGTGATTCTTTGAAAGACTATAATCTAATTGCTTTTCTCAGTGGATTTAATAAACAATGCATTTGGATTTACTAGCTCTTCTGAATTGGTTGAGCTATATATGGCGCATTTGTTTGGGACCGAATTGGTGACATTAGCAAATTCCTACGTCAAATGACTTGGTAGTGAGGTCTGAACTCAGCTGTGATACTTTTTTTTGTTCATTCATGGGATTGGGCATTGCTGGCAAGGCCAGAATTTATTGCTCATCCCCGACTGCCCTTGAACTGAATGGCTTGCTAGGCCATTACAGAGGATGTCACATATAGGCCAGACTAGGTAATGATGGCAGATTTCTTTCCATAAAGAGGGACTGGGTGGGTTTTTTACAGTGTTGTATGAGTCACTATTAGGCTAGCTTTTTAAGTGCAGATTTCTTTCATTGAATTTAAATCTCACGCTTCTGTCGCAGGTCCACAGACTGTTAGCCTGGATTACCGGTCCAGTGACATTACCTCTACACACTGCTTCCCCTTTAATTAAATAATGTAATGAGGTTCATTGTGGAGACTCACACATACAGTGCAGAAATACTCCAAAATAAAATTTTAATGTGTTGTGAGATTGTAAACAATGACAATGACACAAGTTAACTCTGAATCAGTATTTAGCTGTAAATAAAATGTAAGAAAGAGTTCATAAAAGGCATTTGTGAAACAAGGCAGTAAATTATCTGATAGCACTCTGGAATCACGCACACGAAACTACGCTGGCCCCTGACTCGGTAACTCTTAGCACTCTGATTTATAACTCAGTGTCAAATCCGAGAAGTTTAATTTACTTAACCCTAGGAGGTCAGTCTTGTTGATGAAGTTGGGGAGGGGAATATACAGACACTCTGACTGTTAGTTTATGCTATGGGGCCTCTCTGTTGCTGATGTCTATAACTAGTGTTTCCCATCAGACGGCTGCAGCAAGTATGTTTACTGAGATGGCTCAATTCTCCACTCCCCTTTCCCTCCAAACCCCCCACACAGTATCTTAACCCCATGGGTTTTCCTTTGTCCATCAGTTCTCTCATCATCTCCAGCCTTTTATCCAATCCCTATTCAATCCTTGATCCTATTCTAGATATCAAACATAACAAGGGATGTGGAAACATGGTGTTGAGATGGAATAGAGTGGGTAGAGCATGTTCTAGTCATATTGTAGAGCAGACTCGATGAGTTGAATGGCCTACTTCTGCTCCTACTTCCTGTTTCAATGTAAGGAAGTGGAAGCTCATTGTTGCTTTTAGCTTCTGCCGATCCTGTGGTTTAGCCAATGAGAGATGGGTGAACTTTCTTTCCCATTCAGAATTCCAATTGTGTGTATTTGTTACTGACCTTCGTCATCCAGTGTCATTCCCAGGAGCACATAGACACGCCAACGTGGGTGCATCCTGCAGATAGTAATCTCATCTTTCTGTCTGCCCACTCCATCTCTCTCTCCCCCCTCTCTGCCTATACCCCTCTCCTTTCTTCTCACCCTTCTTTCTCTGTCATTTCCCACTCCCCCTGACTCTCCCCCATCTCTCTTTCCTTCAAACAGATATTGCTGAAAAACTCAGTAGGTCTGGCAGCATCTATGGATAGAAAGCAGAGTTTCCAGTCCAGTGGACCTTCTTCAGAACTGATTGTAGCTAGGAAAGGGTTGGTATATATGGTTGGTATTATTCCAACTTCCCCCCCACCCAGTCAATTTCTGGATCCTCCCTTCCCTTCCTCAGCATCTCTGTTTCCATTTTTGGGATTAGGGTGGCCACCAATATCCACTACAGACTCACCTATTCCCAGTTACCTTGACTATACATCCTCACACCCTGCTTGCCTCAACCAAGGATTCCCCAGCATCGTAATTGATGGGACCTCAGCTGGGTCTGACCCACCTCACATGCTTCAGCCCTCACCCCCTCTCTTCCCTCCCACAATAGCGATAGGGTTCTACTTGTCCTTACTACCATCCCACCAACATCCACATCCAGAGGATCATTAGCTGCCACTTCCGCCACTTCCAGTGGAATGCCATCACTAGACACAAGTTCTCCTCCCCTCCCTTGTCCGCCTTCCGCAGGGACCGTTCCCTCCAGGACACCCTGGTTGACGACTCCTTCACTCCCAACATCTCCCCACACCCTGACAGCACCTTTACTTTCAATTCTACAAGGTGTAACAACAGTCCATTTACCTCTTCCCTCCTCAGTATCCAGGACCCAAACACACCTTCCAGGTGAAGCACCACTTTATCTGCACTTCCCACAATCTAGTCTACTGCATTCACTGCTCACAATGTGGTCTCCTCTACACTGGGGAAATAAAGTGCAGATTGGATGACCACTTTGCAAAACACCCATGTTCTGTCTGCAAAACAGACCCTGAGCTTTCAGTTGCCTGCCTCTTCAACACGCCACTGTGTTCCCCAGCCAATATCTTGGTCTCATGGTTGCTGCAGTGCTCCAGCAAAGTTCAGCACAAACTAGAACAGCATCTCATTTCTCACTTGGGGAACCTTCAGCCTCAGAACTCAATAGGGCCTTAGAACCTTCTCCCAAGTCATTATCCCAACCCTAACACACCAGACCTTGTCATCATATTGGCTGCTAGCATAACCATCCCATTGTCAGTCAATAATAGTCCCCATTAGCAGCTAGTAATTCTCCCAGGCTGACCTTTACCCATTTCTCTGTCTGTCCAACTTTTGCTGTCTCTCTCTGGGCTCCATCTCCAACTATCGTTTACTCCTCCCTCCACCCCACATCCCAACTTCAGCATACATACCAACCATTCCCTTGCTAGAATCAGTTCTGAAGAAGGGTCACTGGGCCCAAAATGTTAACTCTGCTTTCTTTCCACAGAGACTGCCAGACCTGCTGAGTTTTTCCAGCAATTTGTTTTTGTTTCTGATTTCCAGCATTCACAATTCTTTGGGTTATTTTCTCTCTTCCCCCGTCTGTCGATTCCTCTGTCTCTATCTATATCTATTCTCCTCTCACTCCTTTCTTTTTGTCTTTCCCTCTCATTGTCTCCCCATCTCTCTCTTCCCCGTCTGTCTCTCCACCCCTTTCTTTCTTCACCTTCATTCTTTCTCTCTTTCCCCACCTTCTGTCTCTCTCTTCCCACATCATCTCTGTCTCTCTCTCTGATTCGCTCCCTTCTCCTTCCCTTCCCAGCATCTCTCTCTCACCCGTCTCTCTCTGCACCCTGCCCCCATTTTCCCTGCTGTCTCACTTCACCATCTTTCTCTCTCCCTCTTCCGCTATCTCTTCTCCTGTCTTTGTTCTTCATCTGTCTGTCTGTCTCTCTCAGTGTATCTCCCTCCTGCTCCGTCTCACAAGATAGGGGATATTATAATATTAGCATGTAAGTTTTGTCAAAGTTCATCGGCTGCTTTGAAACTCACCGGCACCATCTGTTTTCTTGGACACAAAATGTCCTATCAACCTTCAAATCAGCGGACAAAAAGTCATGAAACAAAAACAGGAATTGTTGGAGAAACTCAGCAGAAACTCTTGCAGCATCTATGGCAAGAAAGCAGAGTTAATGTTTTAAGTCCAGTGACCCTTCACCAGAACGGGACAAGAAACATTAATTCCTTGTCCCCCTCTCCAGATGTTTCCAGACCTGCTGAGTTTTGCCAGCATTCTCTGTGCTTGTTTCAGCTTTCCAGCATCCATTGTTTTGTTTTATAGATGGGATGTCATCCCCATCGTGAGCTAAATGTGTCACACTGACGAAGACAAAACTATGGACATCTTGAGTATCAGACCCTTTGCATTTGTGTAAATGTCTGGAAATGGTTCTGTCCAAATTTCTAACTCAGAGATTGCATGCATGTGGGCAAAGTGCTCCTTTGTTTGTGCCAACATCTTAAACTTTAGAATTCCTTTCTTGAATGTCCCAATTCTTACTCTGCCTATATGAAGCTTATTAAAACCATCTTTCCTACCAAGCTTGTGATCAATTGCTCCAATTTTCCCTCTGCAGCTCTCTGTCCAATGTTGTGTGTTACTTGTCCCCATCAAGCACCTTGGTGAGGTATAAGTGTGCTAAAGGTGCTATATAAATGCACATTGTTGTTTTTACATGCATGTAGTAGGGGCTGGATCTGTCTGATCAATCCAACACTTCATGTTCCAGGTTCAGAACATCTCACAGTCAATCGAGGTCCTGGATCTACGCACCTATCGTGATCTCCAGTATGTTCGGAACACAGAATCACTGATGAAGGTTCTCAACGCCAGGTTGAAAGTCGTATCAGAGAGCCAAACAAACCTGTTGAACAGAAATTTCCAGGTAGTGTGGCCCCCAGAGGCAAAATCTCTTTTCATCTCCAATTTCCCTCCCCAGCTTTGCTCAAATGTACCTCCAATTGGACACAACTGTCTTGCCAAGTGACCATTTATGGTTAGACATCCCGGATATTTGTCTCTGGAAACCATCATTACCTCAGGCATCTCTATCAAAGAGGGTGGTAGGATGAGCAGTGTGACATCTGAGCAATATGGTCTTATACTGAACTTACGGGCACGTGATGTTCAGCAACTTTATGAGCTCAGCTTAATTCAACACAGGGCAAGAACCTAGCATTTTCCCGTTCTCTGTCTCTCCAGAGACAAGGCACCTTTAGCTCTTGGCCACTGGAGCAGGTTGTGTGTTACGTACGACATTCTTTCTCAATGTGGCTTTTGCTTCTTGCCCATATCTTAGGAGTACTATGGTGTGGCTGTGATTTTGTAGGTCTTGGTGAGGTGTTTTTTTTTTCCTTTATTTATTCATGGGATGTGGGCATCACTGGCTAGGCCAGCACTTATTGCCCATCTCCAGAGGGCAATTGAGAGTCAACCACATTGCTGTGGGTCTGGAGTCACATGTAGGCCAGACCAGGTAAGGATGGCAGTTTCCTTCCCTAAAGGGCTTTAGCGAACCAGATGGGTTTTTCCAACGACTGACAATGGATTCATGTGAGTTTGTGACAGTTTCTGTCCGTGCCTGAGTATGTGACTGTTTTTGTGGGTGTGTGGCTGTGTTTGTGTATATATGTGTCAGTGTGATTGTGTTTCAGTCTGTGTATCTGGATGTGTGACCGTGTTTGCATCTATATATTTGGATGTGTGACTGTATTTGTACGTGAGTGTATTGGTGTGAGTGTATTGAGTATCAGGGTGTGTTGCTGTGTTTTTACTGGTCTAGGTATGTTTGTTTAGGCTGTGTTTTTGTATATCTGTGAGTGTGACTATTTCTGTCTGTGCCTGTGTGTGTGTGTGTGTGTGTGTGTGTGTATAATCAGACAGACACACCGTTCTGTTGTACTAACTTGGAACCATTGATCCCTGTTACCCGGGCAGTGGAGTTGATGATACATTGTTTTATTAACATCTTTGTTGAGGCAGATTACAATAGTTTCAGACTCTGTTCAAACAATCAGCTCTGTGTCTTTAAAGCTGTGGGCAGCTAGGCACATTCCCCGGAGCGAAATCAGAAATAGATTCTGCACTCCCAATGCCTGTAAATTGGAACTGTAATTTGAGTTTCTGTTGAAACAAATGCAGTGAAGACTCTCACATATCAGTGCAGTCCAGAGTTGTTAGGGCTTGTGAAATGGAGAATGATCTTGACATGTCGCAGATGCTCTGGTATTCAGACCTTACAGTGTCCTGTATAATGGGCACATTTATCGGGAATTTAACGGGATGAGTAAGTCACAGCATGAGCTGGGCCGAATCAAACGAGGCAGCAGTGAGATGTGGCAAGGAGTTTGTGAAACAAAGCCCATTATCAGTCTTGTTGAAGCAGATGGTGAGGTTGGCAATGTTTAAAGGAGAATTGGGTGACAGTCAACCAAACCCACGACTACTTCCATCTAGACGGACAAGAGCAGCAGATCCATGGGAACACCCTCCCCTGTAAGGCCTCCTCCAAGCCACTCACCATCCTAACTTGGAAATACATCATTGTTCCTTCACTGTCATTGAGTCATAGTCATACAGCATGGAAGCAGACCCTTCGGTCCAACTCGTCCATGCTGACCAAGTTTCCCAAAGTAAACTAGTCGCATTTGCCTGCATTTGGCCCATTTCCCTCTAATCCCTATTCATGTACCTGTCCAAAATGTCCTTTAAATGTTGTAACTGTGCCTGCACTTACCACTTCTTCTAGCAGTTCATTCCATATATGCAACACCCTGTGTGAAAAAGTTGCTCCCCAGATCCCTTCTTAAATCTTTCTCTTCTCACCTTAAAAATATGCTCCCTATCTTTGAACTCCCCCACCTTAGGGAAAGACCTTTACTATTCATCTGTCACTGGGTCAAAATCCTGAACTCCCTCCCTAAAGGCATTGTGGGTGCCAGAACACCACACAGACTGCAGCAGTTCAAGAAGGCAGCTCACTGCCAGCTTCTCAAGGGGCAGCTAGGGACAGGCAACAAATGCTGGCCTAGCTAGTGACACCCGTATTCTGTGGAACTATTTTTTAAAATGGTAGCACCCTAGACTAGCTAAAGACAGCTTTATCACCTTTGTCCCTAGGAGAACATAAGAAATAGGACCATCAATACTGCTGCGCCTTTCAATACAATCAAGATTGATTCGGGGCTTCAACTCTGCTTTCCCGGCCATTCTCCTTGTCCCCGATTCCCTCAGAGACCAAAATCCCTCTCTCCCGGTCTCAAATGTATTCAACAATGGAGCAGCCACACACACAAACAGAGATAGAGAATTTCCCAGCACTCTGAACAAAGACATTTTTCCTCATTCCAAACCTAAGTGATGAATTACTTATCTTGATACTGTGATACTCCAACCAGGGGAAGCTATTCCCAGTATCTCTCCTGTCAAGGCACCTTCATAATCTGGAAGTTTTCGATTAGATCACCTCTCAATTCTTCAAAACTCCAGAAAACCATTAGCCCACGATAATCCTCCCATCTCAGGAGTAAATTTAATGAATATTCAGTTACTGTCAGCAACTATTTTTCCTTAAATATGGAGACCACACAGTGCACTTAACATTGAAGAAGTATTTAGATGTGCACCTGTGATGCCAAGGCTATGATACGAAGATATGGGCCAAGTGCTGGAAAATGAGATTAAAATAGATGGTTGTTTTTGACTGGCACAGACTCCATCAGATGAAGGGCTTCTTTCTGTGCTGTAGACCACTTGAATTTATGTCTACGACAGTACTCTAAGTGTGATCTCCGCAACACCCTGCACAAATTGTAACAAGACCTTCTGATATTTCTAATCCAATGGCTGCAATGAAGGCTGACATGCCATTTTCCTTCCTATTGGTTTGCTGTACCTACAAGCCAACTTTCTGTATCAATCCTTGTTTGACTATGTTACTATAGCCGTTGTTTTCATAGAGTTGTAATAGGGTTAAAGTTAGGTTAGACTTGGTACAAGCAGTATTAGTAATTTCAAATGTTATGAACTCAAGCTCCATTTGAGCACTCAAAAAGTTAAAGTGTTCACCCTTTACTAGAGCCTGTTGGGTGTCTCGGAGAGACAGTTAGATCACAGAATCCCTACAGTTTGGTGGCAGGCCATTTGACCCATCAAGTCCACACCACTGCTCCAAACAGTATCCCACCCAGACCCAGACCACCGCTCTATCCCTGTAACCCCACATTTCCCATGGCTAATCCACCTAATCTGCACATCCCTGAACACTATGGACAATTTAGCATGGCCAAACCACCTAACCTGCACATCTTTGGACTGTGGGAGCAAACTAGAACCAGGAGGCAACCCAAGCAGACACAGGGAACTTTTACATATGTTACACCATTTTTCAAAAGTAAGGGGTCATGGAGACAGCCAATCGTTGCTGCTACTCCATAACAATACCCTGGTCAATCAGGATCTACCTGCCTGGTCTGAGAATTAAGATTGACAGCGAACTGCCCTTGTTGCATCTCCATGTCAGTGATGGCCCAACCAATCAGCACCCACTTTTCATTCTGTATAAAATGGTGTCTCTTTTTGTACAAGTCGGTTCCTCATGTCCTGGTTCCAAGGAATGTAAGATGAGAAGCTTCAACTTCTGAACTCTAAACCAAATTTGTTCTCAGTCTGAGTTCCTTACATAATATAAGATGTCATTGGCCCATTGTAGTTTCCCCCTACATTATGAGCCCAGTGAACCTTCTAACAAGACAAAAGATGTATTAAACTATTAACTTCACTTGCTCCCACAATGATATTGGTCTATGTTATGTTTGTATTTATGCAGTAAATTTACCATAGTTGGTTTAACCTGAGGGTCCTCGGGGCAAGATTGAGAAGGTAAGGATTTCATAGGAATCTCAGCTAGTACAGGAATTGAACCCATTCTGTTGGCATCACTCTACAATGCAAACCAGTTGTCTAGCCAACTGAGCTAACTGATCCCCAATTAATACAGTATGGCACATCTTGCTCATAAGAAGGAAACAAGGAACCTGACAGGAGGGTTATCAAATAAACTTTCATACAAAGCCATATCAGGAATTATTAGAAGCCGATCAAAAGCTTGGTTAAAGAGGGTAGATATGAAAAAATGTTTGAAAGGCGATAGAGAGGCAGAGAATTAGAGAGGAAACATTAAGCTTAGAGCCCAAGTAGCTAAGGTCTGACTGAATATGGTGGTGTAAAGTAATGGGAGGGGAGGCAGGGTGGTGACCAGATGGCACAGCTGGAGAAGCACAGATATCTTGCATCCTGTGAGACTGAAGGTAGTTACAGCAAAAGGGAGTGCCATGGGAGGATTTGAAAACTACAATGAGATTTTAATACGGACCCAGTCAGGATGTGCGTGCAAATGTGGGTGAACTGGTCAGGGGAGATAGGGGCATGGAGACCTGATACCCAGTAGATGTAAAGTCCCAGTCAATATTACAGGAGCTTCTACAAACCATCCATTGACACAACTTCACTATTGATCTCATAATTTTGCCACTAGACCAACCAAGCAGGTGTAGGACTATTAGGGACAGTGTGCTTAGTATTTTTATAATGTCCCTTCAAGAATTTAAATTTATGGATTCTTTGGCGTTAGATGCTGTGGGGAAGTTGCTCATGTAGTGGTAATATCTCTGGACTAGTAATCCAGAAACTCAGAATAACATTGTGGGGATGTAGGTTCCAATTCTGATAGGACACATGGTGAAGATAGATTTAATTTAAAAAAAGTTAGTTTAATGGCAATCATGTTACTATAATATCAACGATGGTAAAAGCCCATCTGGTTCACAAGGTCCTTTGGGCAAGGAAACTGCTGTCTTACCTGGTCTGGCCTACATGTGACTGCAG